TCTAAAATACAATCAAACTAAATATTGATGGAGCCTTTTCAAAGACTAACTTACATGCAGGTCTACGAGGAGCTTTTCATAACAGCAACGACAATTGGATAATGGGATTCCACAAATCTTGTTATGCAACATCTCCATTGCATGCAGAATTATTAGCACTAGAGCAAAGTCTTAAAATTGCATTGGAGATGTCTTTTCCATTAATAGAAATTGAAACAGATTCTTCAGAAATGATTAAAATGCTCAATGAGGACAATGTCCTAACTAATAATATGTTACTCAAATGCAGGTTGTTAATGCGCCAGTTGAAAATATCAACGATCAATCATAACTTCAGGGAGGGTAATGCAGTAGCTCATCATCTAGCTAAGGAAGCAATCAGCCACTTCAAGGCAGAAAAAAGTATCTACCATGCACGTCCACCTTATTTTGTTGAAGTTTTTTTGGAAAAGGACATGAATGGTGTATGTTTTGGAACAAACTCTTAAGTTCCTCGGTTTGTAATAGCCTAATAGCTATAAACAATAGAAATGTCCTTAGAGTCTACGTAGTTGTATGTAAGACTTTTCCAGTTTACTAGTATTAATATATGCTTCGTTATCGTTCAAAAAAAAAAGAACACATATGTAAAATGACCATTTTTTTTCGGTCTCACTTCCCATCGATTCTTTATTAAGCTCAAGTGTAACTAAGTGTTGAAATATCCATTTTTGATTATGAACTGTCAAATCATGTAATTACGCAGTTATCCTAACTTGGTAATACAGTCAGGCCTCTCTATAACAGCATCTTTATATAACAATACTTCACTATAAAAGCCTAGCGTTTTTCGGAACCAAATTTTATGTTATGTTATAATATATGTTCTCTATAACAGCACTTCGCTATAACATTCAAATATATTCGGAACAAACGAGACTGTTATAGAGAAGTTTGACTGCATACTAAAACTACGCATGTAATTACTAAGGTTATAACTTTTTCGCAAAACATTTTGAGTAGAGTAGGGCACATAGTCTAAGCCCTAATCAAAGCTCACATATTTCAAGCTTGGGCTCAATTGAGTCCAGATTGGCCCAGCCCATTAGCTCGCTTCAGTCATATAATGATGAGAAACGTGTATTTTTAGTCGCTCCCAAAAATAATAGCCGACAATATATATATTTTTTTGTATATATGTGTATTATATACATTTTTTATATATATTTAGCTAACAAATGTAATTAGTTTCGGCTAGCCGACCAATTTTATATTTTTCCTTATAATGATTACCTCAAAACCAATATTCATTTATTAAGCTCAATGTTTGCTCAGTGCTGTAGACGAATTTAATAATATATCATTTTATACTTCTTTATTCGATATAACCAACATTTTAATCGTCTCCAATTAATACTTTATGGGCAGTGATTAATCAAAAAATTTAACATTTTAGAATTCCAAAATTGATGAAATCTAATTTTTGTGATAAGTAAAATTATCACTTCTTCTTTATTTTTTTTTTAATTTCCGCAATATCGTAGAAGCTGCGGCGTTAGGTGGGACTAAGGGTGTCTAACGGGCCGGGTTTAATCGTAACCGGACTGGCCCAGACCGGTTAAAACCGGAACCGGCCCGGACCGGTACAAGGGAGCTGGGTTGGGTTGGGTTAAAGGGGTAGGGGAGTAGGTCCGTCTACTTAAATTCTACCGGTTAACCGGACCGGTCAAACCCGGTCAACGGTTTTTACTGTTCAACCGGTTAACCGGCCCGGCCCGGCCCAGACCGGTATAACGGCTAGTTAATTTTTTTTTAACTTTATTTTTTTTTTAATAGTGGGCCTTACTTCTGACCGTTGGCAACGGTCTTCTGCCCTTATGGCCATTGCCCAACGGCAGATTTTCACAAATAGCCCATTTTTGGGTTTTTTTTTAAAAAAAATTAACACCCCTTTGAAAAACTGTAAATACACCCCCCCCCCCCCCCCCCC